CTACTTCACCTGAAGGTGTTCAGCAAGAACGACGTATGAAGTTACTGTTGTTAATTAATAATATAGCCCTTGATAAAGGGTAGGATGGTCGAAATTATTAATGTCATGGTTGTTCCAGACCAATTGGAATGATTATGATCAATGAATTCTCGACTTGTTATTTGCTAATAACTCAAATATATTTATTTTCAAATTTCTTAGCTTAATAAATGTTATCTTTGTAGAAACTATTATGACAAAGTACATAATCCCTTTTTTCCATGAAGCCCATGGATGCGTTCGTTCGTGATGAAACAGTCATATTGTATCAGGAGGCTCTCGTTCATCGCGAAAGATTTATGAGAAAAATACGTTGTAAAAGGTAATAAGTAAAAAACGTATAAACATGCTTAGTGTTTGTTTAAGTTATAGTTCAAAAAGGCAGAAGTTGTTTGAACCTTTGAAGTATCGTTGGACGTTCTAGTTTTTTTTATGAGAAGAATTCTTGTAAAGAAAAAGACAAATTTTGAAAACCAAAAAATCCCGTTTTCGGTCCATGCCTCCCGATACCCATAGATAGTTGATCACTAGAGAGTCGCATGTTAACTAAGGGAACCACATAATCCTTGTTTGTTTTCCATGAAACATATGGATGGTTTACTCGTGATACATGAGAAACAGTAAATGGGAGAGTTAAATCCGAAAGATATAAACCGATAAAATTGATATAAAACTTTTTAAGGTTTTCTTTATTTATAAGTGTCAGACAGGGTCATAAGAAGTTAATTGAAACATTGCTTGGTTTGTTTTATGAGAAGAAAACAAAAATATAAAATTCGAAAGCAAAAAACCCCGTTTTCGGTCCATGCTTCCCGATACCTTCTTAAGCGCAAGGCACTAGAACGCCGCATGTTATTTCTAAGGATCCAACTAGTCTAAACAACTACGTACATTTAAGCAATCCATCTTTCCCATGGTAAACACACGTGTCAAAAAAACGTGATTGAATTACAAAATTCGTGCAATCAAATAGTCGGACATAGTATTGTATTTGTAGAAGAGCCAATAAAATAAAAGGATTCTCTTGGGGCATTTGTAAATATTAGTTTAGAAATACTCCGCATTTCTAAATGGGGAATGCACCCCCCATACGGGGGAATGCACCCCCCCTCCCTTGAAATAAACTCCGGCATTCGAGTTTCTTCTTCCTCTTTTATCACGACTCTCTTCCCCGGAGAATCTACGGAGGATTGCAAGTTGCTACAGACTTTAAAGAAATTTATTCATAAAGCATTGTACCATCTTTTCTTTTAATATTTGGTGAGGGAATATTAGTGTTTGGCACTAGGATTTAAACTTCATATGAGTCTGTACAGTCCATTTGACAAATTTTTCAATTTCATAGTCATGGTAACGACAAGCTGGATCTATTTTCATCGCTTTCTGAGTGATTAAATCGTTTGGTCACATAAATGTACGCAAAATCATCTGAACATGCGGTACGCTTGGAAATGCGCAGTACAAGCAAAGTCTATTTGACCAATTGTCTGAGTAAACGATCATGGAAATGACCAACTGCATTTATTAGAATCAATTAGGGAGTAGATAACTTGCTTACTAACAAATTATTAAAGATATCAACTGAGCATGCGCAGTTCACTTGACAGTTTTTGACTTCATAGTTATGGCAACGACCAGCTGCATCTACAAGCACCGAATTTGAAGTAAATAGCATGCTTAGTAACAATTAAATGGATAAATCATCTGCGCATGCGCAGGAGCATGCGCAGTACATTCGACCAATTGTTTATAGTCATGGCAACGACTAACTATATGTACTTGCACTATATTTGTGGCAATTAGCTCACTTAGTCGCAAATTATCAAAGAAATCATCTGGGCATGCGCAGTAGTGACTTTAATAATACCGCAACTTTCGTAAGCCTCTGAATTTTGTATATATATATAAAGCCAATATTAGGTATAGTAGATGTCAACTAGCAGTGGAAGCTGGGTGCGATATGTATGCAGTGGCTTAGGGTCCAGACGTTTCGGGTCGCGACCGCACTCTCCCTGCGTACCCCGAGCAAAGCCTATCGCAGGTGATCTCAGGGTCTGATGGGCGGAAGCTTGCTATTGCATCTCCCAAGTAGGATAGCGTGGAGGGCCGAAATCTCCTACCGAAACGTTAACATGCGGCGTTCTAGTGCCTCGGCTTAAGCAGGTATCGGGAAGCATGGACCGAAAACGGGTTTTGCTTTTGAATTTAATCTTTTTTGTATAAAAGAAACTAGAACATTCAAGGATATTGCAAAAGTTAAAAAATTCCGCCTTAATGACTTATAATTTAAACCAACTGTAAATATGTTTATACGCTTTTACATGTTAACTTTTGAACTTGCAAGGAGCAGTCAAGCGTCTCACTGTGATAAACCTACGAAGTATTCTTTCTCTCATTTTCTTGTTTAGAAAAAGTTATCAACTAAGTGGTCGAACTCTTCGTAAACTACCATTCCTTGCACATGCGCTGTACTCAAAAGTAAGTAATACGAATTAAAGCCTTCACCCGTGTTCTTTTTGTTGTACATGCATGTACTTATATTGTCCCTCAAACCTACGTAATAGGCGCAAACGATAACCTTAGAGGTGTTTTTGAATAATCTTTCAATGGTTGTCGACAAGCAGTTCAAAGAAAAAGAGAATCTTTGCTCAGTTGGTGAAGAAAAAAGCGTGCAAACGTGATCTTTTTAGCGATTGTATACTTTTTATACATTCATAGTAATATTTTGGATATGTTTTGTTGAAGATTAAGATTTTTGTATTGCTCAATTTAAGTTCAATAAGTAACATAGATCACAAAGTTTGCTAATTTATATTGATGCTTTAAGACTCCTTACATGACGTTTCCGCAACACACGAGGTCAAAGTTCGTATATATTAAAATGCAACAATGTGTATAGTTCGTTATTGAGGATAATGTATAGATTATTTTACATAGGGAAAGATATTTATACGCTATAGTTAATTGTAACTGTTTAATTTCAACTTATGTTTACATTAAATGACATCCTTAAGCCAACTTTACTAATATTGATCGCTATTTTCGTGTTATACATCTATAATCATCTTGTTGTTAAAGATTTGAAGCTTTGCTGCGATAATACAGGTTTGTACAGCTATCTCATCTTTGTTTGTTGCCTGCCTGATAGCATGTCGACTCCGGGGACCAGATTTTTTATCGTGATTTATATGACATTATAGATTGTCGTACGTCTATCTAATATCTTGAGTATAAACGATATGTTTTGAAAGATGAGTTTACATATACTCTAGTAGTGTCTTCATCAGGAGTGATCTGATGTTGAAACTTGAGTCTTTATATACTCCAGTCTAGTGTCTTCATCAGGAGTGATCTGATGTTGAATCTTGAGTCCTTATATACTCCAGTCTTATGTTTTCATCAGGAGTGATCTGATGTTGAATCTTGAGTCCTTATATACTCCAGTCTAGTGTCTTCATCAGGAGTGATCTGATGTTGAAACTTTAGTCCTTATATACTCCAGTCTTATGTTTTCATCAGGAGTGATCTGATGTTGAATCTTGAGTCGTTATATACTCCAGTCTAGTGTCTTCATCAGGAGTGATCTGATGTTGAATCTTGAGTCCTTATATACTCCAGACTAATGTCTTCATCTGGAGTGATCTGATGTTGAATCTTGAGTCCTTATATACTCCAGTCTAGTGTCTTCATCAGGAGTGATCTGATGTTGAATCTTGAGTCGTTATATACTCCAGTCTAGTGTCTTCATCAGGAGTGATCTGATGTTGAATCTTGAGTCCTTATATACTCCAGTCTTATGTTTTCATCAAGAGTGATCTTTTATTGAAACTTTCGCTAGTGTTATTTAACCATGTTATCTAAAAACTTTATCCTACATAGTCCATTTTTGTATTTGTGTTTCCACTTGTTTTCTTTAATGTTTTAAAATAATGTTCTTGACAGCAGAGAATTATTCTCATTATGATTTGGTCGTTGGAATACTTTCATCGCGCGGCAACTTTGATTTGAGGCAAAGTTTACGTGAATCATGGGTTGGCTATGCAAGACGACATTCATCTCTAAATAAAAGGTAAGCACAGGAAAACACTGAATTTTCTTGAGGGTAGCTGTAGTGTGTTTTGTATTCAATTAGAGCTACTTAGCGTGTGAAACGTTACAGCAAACACAATATTTGTGAAGGTAAAGTGTAGAACAGTGTTTCAAATTGGCCTGTCGCGTTTACAACGAATTTCTTTAATACCAGAGAACGTTTACAACGTATTTCTTCAATACCAGAGAACGTTTACAAAGTATTTCTTCAATACCAGAGAACGTTTACAACGTATTTCTTCAATACCAGAGAACGTTTACAAAGTATTTCTTCAATACCAGAGAACGTTTACAACGTATTTCTTCAATACCAGAGAACGTTTACAACGTATGTCTTCAATATCAGAGAACGTTTACAACGTATTTTTCAATACCAGAGAACGTTTACAAAGTATGTCTTCAATACCAGAGAACGCTTACAACGTATTTCTTCTATACCAGGGAACGTTTACAAAGTATGTCTTCAATACCAGAGAACGTTTACAACGTATGTCTTCATGATGAGAGTTATTATCTCATATCATGAAGATACTATGATTGTATACTTTTATACATTCATATTACTATGAATGTATAAAAGTATACAATCGCTAAAAGATCACGTTTGCACGCTTCACCAACTGAGCAAAGATTCTCTTTTTCTTTGAACTGCTTGTCGACAACCATTGAAAGATTATTCAAAACTCTTCTAAGGTTATCGTTTGCGCCTATTACGTAGGTTTGAGGGACAATATAAGTACATGCATGTACAACAAAAGAACACGGGTGAAGGCTTTAATTCGTATTACTTACTTTTGAGTACAGCGCATGTGCAAGGAATGGTAGTTTACGAAGAGTTCGACCACTTAGTTGATAACTTTTCTAAACAAGAAAATGAGAGAAAGAATACTTCGTAGGTTTATCACAGTGAGACGCTTGACTGCTCCTTGCAAGTTCAAAAGTTAACATGTAAAAGCGTATAAACATATTTACAGTTGGTTTAAATTATAAGTCATTAAGGCGGAATTTTTTAACTTTTGCAATATCCTTGAATGTTCTAGTTTCTTTTATACAAAAAAGATTAAATTCAAAAGCAAAACCCGTTTTCGGTCCATGCTTCCCGATACCTGCTTAAGCCGAGGCACTAGAACGCCGCATGTTAACGTTTCGGTAGGAGATTTCGGCCCCTCCACGCTATCCTACTTGGGAGATGCAATAGCAAGCTTCCGCCCATCAGACCCGAGATCACCTGCGATAGGCTTTGCTCGGGGTACGCAGGAGAGTGCGGTCGCGACCCGAAACGTCTGGACCCTAAGCCACTGCATACATATCGCACCCAGCTTCCACTGCTAGTTGACATCTACTATACCTAATATTGGCTTTATATATATACAAAAATTCAGAGGCTTACGAAAGTTGCGGTATTATTAAAGTCACTACTGCGCATGCCCAGATGATTTCTTTGATAATTTGCGACTAAGTGAGCTAATTGCCACAAATATAGTGCAAGTACATATAGTTAGTCGTTGCCATGACTATAAACAATTGGTCGAATGTACTGCGCATGCACCTGCGCATGCGCAGATGATTTATCCATTTAATTGTTACTAAGCATGCTATTTACTTCAAATTCGGTGCTTGTAGATGCAGCTGGTCGTTGCCATAACTATGAAGTCAAAAACTGTCAAGTGAACTGCGCATGCTCAGTTGATATCTTTAATAATTTGTTAGTAAGCAAGTTATCTACTCCTAATTGATTCTAATAAATGCAGTTGGTCATTTCCATGATCGTTTACTCAGACAATTGGTCAAATAGACTTTGCTTGTACTGCGCATTTCCAAGCGTACTGCGCATGCTCAGATGATTTTGCGTACATTTATGTGACCAAACGATTTAATCACTCAGAAAGCGATGAAAATAGATCCAGCTTGTCGTTACCATGACTATGAAATTGAAAAATTTGTCAAATGGACTGTGCAGACTCATATGAAGTTTAAAGCCTAGTGCCAAACACTAATATTCCCTCACCAAATATTAAAAGAAAAGATGGTACAATGCTTTATGAATAAATTTCTTTAAAGTCTGTAGCAACTTGCAATCCTCCGTAGATTCTCCGGGAAGAGAGTCGTGACAAAAGAGGAAGAAGAAACTCGAATGTCGGAGTGGCAGAGATTGAAAGACGATGAGAATGAACGTTTACTTAAAGAAAGCAGAACTATTTCTGATATTCTTTTGTTTCAAATGTCGATGTTTACAGAAATCTTCCATCCCAGTTGCTTCAGTTTTTCTCGTGGTAAGAGAGTGTCTGAGACTTTTATATTTTTCATGCCACTGTGAAATTTCTGGCGATAAGTGGACAGTCTCAAATCAACTTTAAACATTATTTTTGCCCAAATAACTTGCATTAGTGTATAATTCATCTCGCCAGTATCTCCTTACCTACGACATCAGTCGTCATATGTCATATTGATCTTGCTTCATGTCGGCTTTTCTTTTAAATAGGCTCTCGGCGACTTTAAGTTTTCCTTTGTAATGAAAACTGACGATGATTGTTTTGTTAACCTGGAGACCATCTTACAGGTTTGTGAAAGCTCTTCAATTACATCTCCCAAGTAGGATAGCGTGGAGGGGCCGAAATCTCCTACCGAAACGTTAACATGCGGCGTTCTAGTGCCTTGCGCTTAAGAAGGTATCGGGAAGCATGGACCGAAAACGGGGTTTTGCTTTCGAATTTTATCTTTTGTTTTCTTCTCATAAAACAAACCAAGCAATGTTTCAATTAACTTCTTATGACCCTGTCTTTTCTGACACTTATAAATAAAGACAACCTTAAACATGTTTTATACCAATTTTATCGGTTTATATCTTTCTGATTTAACTCTCCCATTTACTGTTTCTCATGTATTACGAGCAAACCATACATATGTTTCATGGAAAACAAACAAGGATTATGTGGTTCCCTTAGTTAACATGCGACGCTCTAGTGCTCAACTATCTCGGGTATCGGGAGGCATGGACGTAAACGGGATTCTTTGGTTTTCAAAATTTATCTTTTCTTTACAAGAATTCTTCTCATAAAAACTAGAACGTCCAAGGATACTTCAAAGGTTCAAACAACTTCTGCCTTTTGAACTATAACTTAAAAACTCTAAGCATGTTTATACGTTTTTACTTATTACCTTTACAACGTAACTTTCTCATAACTCTCTGATGAACGAGAGCCTCATTATACAATATGACTCTTTCATCATGAACGAACGCATCCATGGGCTTCACGGAAAAAAGGGATTATGTACTTTGTTATGAGAACAAACCTGTTAAGAAAACAGGTTGTTATTTTTATAACTATAAGCTGTGTACAAAACAAAATGAGAGAAGTCACCATCATGCATAAAATGCTTTCTGATACGTAGATGAACACTCGTATTTACTAATTAGCAGACCTGTATATATTATATATTACAGATAAACTTCAAAAATACTTATCTTCAATCTAGCAATCCAGTATCAGACTCTCTTAAATTATTTGGTAAGAAAGTTTTCTGTATTCCAAGAGTTGTTCCATCCATCACCACCTTCTGGGAATTCTTCCACATAATTCACAAAAAAATCCATTGTCAAAATCAATATCAAGCAACCTTAATAAGAGAAAATTCAATAACTTAATAAAACAAGCGATCACTATCTCAATGGAATATTCATATTTTGCAGCTGAAAATGAAATGATGCTTACCGTATCATGGCAATGATAGCGAGACGAAACTTAGCGTAAGTTATTTCCTTTGGGAAATTCAAACTACCAAGACACTTGCCTTTGTACATATGCAACATAATATTTGTACATAGGTAAACTGAACAAGAATAAAAAAGGAAAAACATTCAAAAGATATAGTGCGAGAAAATTAAATAATGGACAAACGTAGCTACTAATGCTTCGGCAAATTTTCATTAAAAAGTACCTCGAAAAGCCGTTATGAAAAGCCGAATGTAATCTTTTAGATCGGCATGAGATATTGCATATGATCAAACCATACAATCCTGTTTTCAATGCCATCATAATGCTTTTTTAGCACAAGAGGAGCAAGGTCTACAATACACTAAATAATTTATTTAAGTCAAATAATTATGAAGTGAAGCGTAACCTATAACAAATCAGAACTTACCCTTCACATCATGGATTGAACAAAAGTACGCAACTGAACACAAGTCTACGTACAACCATTCATCTTGAATAGAACGTTTATCCCACTCTGCACCACAAGAACAAATACCACTTTCAGATGGCGCCAAAATTTTATGACCATTTTTCAGGAAGATCAGTAAAATCGCTTGCATCATTCTCATTGCCTAAAATAATTAAATAGTAATATTTACAAAATGCTAGAAAGTGCTAAATACCATACCGATAAAGGAAATAGTATATGTAAAGCTAAAAGGATGTTCACCATTGCAGATTATCTTGCATACTTGTTTCAAATAAAGAAACCTTTTCGTTTGCCAATTCAAAATAATTCCATCTGTGGTTTAAAGGAAAACCAAAGCACCAATGGTCAATCCATTTCATTCTCATAAACTTCCATGGCTAATGCAAGGGTTGTCACATATTGCAATGATATTCTTATTGCATTCATGTATACAACTGGGAGGTACTTTTGAATACACTAAGTAAAAATCTCAGTTAAGAAGCATAAAATCCAAAACACCAAGCTAGAACTAAACATTATATGATTCTTAAACAAACTTAGCTACTATTATGTTTACAATATGTGTGTAGTGGTAAATTTTGTATGTTCAACAATGTGTTTGTATGTAGTGTGTACATGCATGTGTATCATGTAATATCATTTATATCATATTATAATTTCATATATAATTAATTAGAACGTTATCTAGAAGCCTTGCATGTGCTAATTTGCTTACATGCGTAAACACTGGAATAAACCGCATTTGTTGTTATTGTGGTTAACTATATCTTGCTGTAACATACTGTGTATATGGGAGTATAAAAAAACCACAATACTTCCCATTAGATATTATATGTATATATGAGTTGTTTAGACCACTGAGTACAACCTACGAGGACAACCTACGAGCACAAGCTACGAGGAGACAAACTTAGGAGGCATAGCCTACCGAAGTAGGTTGACAAGCTACAATCTACCAGACAACTATCTTGGCTTCTGTGCCATAACTATCTTTTGGCTTCTGTGCCTTTAATCTATTGGAAAACAATTGTGAGTCATCGTTGGACTCACGAACGCTCAAGAATAAGACTCGCGTTTGTACTCAGACAGGGAGATAAGTTTTACTCATACTTATTGATATTATTATTAAGACACTCATCTACTTTAATATTTACGCTTTATTAATAAATTGTTTGAGAAATATAACTGGTTCACACTATCTTTGTTGCGTGTGGAAATAGAACCAAAATTAATAGTTATTCTTTCGGGACCACGCACGTAACACATAGGTTGTGATGATTGTTAATCTTCAGTTAAGGCTTTATGCTCAAGATCATGTTTTAGTTCAAGAAAGAATATTTTTCAGTGTTGTAAATTGTCATGTTATGTTGTGTAGAGTGTGAATATACCATATGATATAAACTGTAAATGTTAAGTCATATATTACTAGACAAATACGTATATAGTCACTAAACTGTGGTTTCAGTGGAAATCCTGTACGTAAATTCAAAATACTTAGGAACACTTTTCTACCCAATGTGGCATTGCGGTAGGATGTAGTAATGACGGTACTCTATAAACGGAATGGCGTGTTGCAAGTCATGCAAACGCCCAAAATCATATCCTAATAATTATAATATAAATAAGAGCTTGCAAGCGTTGGTTCGGCATTCGGAAAAACAGACGTTGTTAGACGTACAGAAGTGATAAGTTGGAAGTCGTATCGCAGGAGGCGATAGCGTTTGAATAAGTTTCAAGTTTAAAGATTGACGGTTGGCCGTAATCTCAACGTTTCAATAACATATTTGTGTCGCAAAGAACCAACGTTTGGAACTCCGTATCATAAATCGTGCACAAACCACTGTAAATATCCTATCAAGTGTTAAATACAATTGTCAAAATACAGTCCCATCGTTCGAGTGAAGTCTCGAGAGCAGTGAACCAGCACTTCGCGCAGATTGTGCGAAATTCAGTGAGCCTTCGAGCCGGATAGAGTAGCAGAATTCGAGAACACATTGATAGGATAAAAAAGGGTTGTTCACGATGTCAGAGCTGACAAGAAAGCGACAGTCGAGGTGGGCACAAATCGTACGCCACAAAGGTTGTGAACAAGGTGATAAGTATGGTAAACGACAATGCGCCATTAAGGAAAGTCGAACTGGAACAAATGCGGCTTGTACTCGTACAGAAATTGGATACAATTTCGAAGTTGGACGATGAGATTCAGAGCTTGTTGGAAAAGGATGACGATATTGCAGCAGATATTGACAGCTCATCGGAATACGGCTGCGAAGTTTTGGGCGCGTTGGCCGAAATCAACGAAGCGCTGAGCACGATAGAGACGAACAAACGAAATGAGGAACTCGCCAACACATCGGCAAGTACAGTATCCAGTGGAGCACGCTGTAGAGTAAAGCTGCCTAAACTAGAGGTGAAAAAGTTCACGGGCAAGATACAAGATTGGCGTGAATTCTGGGACTCTTTCGAAAGTTCAATCCACAACAATGACGGATTGTCTGAGGTCGACAAATTCACCTATCTGAGGGGTCTGGTGGAGGAGCCGGCCAAGTCAGCAATTTCGGGATTTGCTCTGACTTCGATTAACTATGCAGAAGCACTGAAGGTGTTAGAACGGAGATACGGGAGCAAAGTGATGGTGCAAAGGGCACACGTAAATGATTTGATGAACCTAAAGCCCGTGTACAACGAGAATGATACGACAAGGCTGCGCAAGTTCTTTGATGCCGTGGAAACGAGTTATCGAGGACTCGAGGCGCTCGGTGTAAAGGAGGAAACGTACTGCGAGATAGTCGTTCCCAATCTTCTAACAAAGATACCGAACTCATTAAAACTGACGATTACCAGGGGAAGAGACTACTTAGAGTGGGGCATGAAAGATTTTGTCGACGCGTTACAAGCCGAAGTGGAGCTGCGGAATGCCACAAATTAGCGGTCGGAGAAAAGAAGATCAACGAAGAAGACGACGGGAACCGGGAACAGCTAGCGGGTTGTTTGCCAGCCGCAACAACCGATTGTTTTGTGCTTTCTGCTGTGGAGAGCACAAGCATGAAGAATGTACCAAGGTAACGGGGCGGCAAGAACGGATGCAACTTCTTCGTAAGTTCAAACGATGTTTCAATTGTTTAAATAAGGGACATTTATCTAAAGATTGTCGTGCACGTACTAAATGTAGTGTATGTGGGGAGGGTCATCATGTTTCCATATGTGATAAGAGTAATAATAACCAGAAGGATGAAAGAAATAGTCGGGAAGAAAGTGGACAGGTTAGTGTAGCTAATGTCCATGTTAGTACTAGAAGTAGAGTGGCTCTTCAAACTGCGCAGGGAGTACTTATAGGAAAGGGTAAGACAAGAGTGCGAGTGCTTTTCGACTCGGGAAGTGAGAAATCCTTTGTGACGTGTGACGCGAAGAGGTGTGCCAAGCTTAACGTTGCTAGGCGAGAATGGTTCGAAGTTAATACATTCGGTGGTGGAAGTAACAAGGGTAGAATGACAGAGGTTGTTCATTGCGAGGTATCGGCAGTTCAAGGAGGTCGTAAAATACGCGTAGAGGCGTTAGTAGTTCCTCATATTTGCACGATCAAAAAATGAGCATCTTGAGGTAGACAAGAACAAGTATTCGCATTTGAAGGATTTGTGGTTGTCAGACGTTAATTTGAAGCAGGACACGTTAGATGTTGATGTTTTGATAGGTGCGGTTAACCTTTGGGCATTTCTACAAGGTGAGATAATTAGGGCAAGGATGACGAACCCGTTGCCATCAATACTTGTTTAGGTTGGGTAATAAGCGGTCCACTGAAAGGGAGCTCGAACTTGAAAAACGCACACGTTAATTTAGTTTCACAGATTGCAACACAAAACGCGGACAGCATTAATGGGGATGTGAGTAAATTGTGGGATTTAGAAACGCTTGGAGTAAGAGACTAATGACGTGCATGAAGCATTGCTTGACAAAATAGAGTTCAATGGGTCAAAATATGTCGTAAAATTGCCATGGAAACAGGGTCATGAGCACTTACCGTCAAATTATTCAAATAGTTTAGCACGCATGAAAGGGCAGATAAGGAGGTTGTCGAATGAGCCAGCATTGTTGAAAGAATGTGATAAAATTATAAAGGAACAGCTAGAAACGGGTGTTATAGAAAGGGTAGATGAGTCTGAACCTGGGGTAAATGTTCATTACCTTCCCCATCAAGCCGTAATACGTAAAGAGGCGAAAACAACCAAATTGAGAATTGTTTATGACGCATCGTCAAAGAGAGTAAGAGAGGGACTTCTTTGAATGACTGTCTTCATGTAGGACCACCACTAACGCCGTTGTTGTTTGACATATTAATCAGATTTAGGGAGAGCAGAGTGGCCTTGGTAGGAGACATTGAGAAAGCCTTTTTGAACGTAGAAGTAGACGAAGCAGACAGGAACTATTTGAGATTTTTGTGGGTGAGAGATGCGACTAATGGTAATTTAGAGGTTGTAGTGTATAGGTTTTGTAGAGTAGTGTTTGGACTAAATGCATCGCCCTTCTTGCTTAACCAACGCTTAGACATCACATTGCGCAATTTGTCAGTGGCG